TACTATTATTATTATTATTATTATTATTATTATTATTATTATTATTATTATTATTATTATTATTATTATTATTATTATTATTACTACTATTATTATTATTATTATTATTATTATTATTATTATTATTACTACTATTATTATTATTACTATTATTACTATTATTTATTTTAAATTATTATTATCACTATTATTTATTTTAATTATTAATTGTTTGTATTTTACAGCTGCATGGAGCATTCTGGCCAGTACCTTTGGGAAGAAGAGATGGAAGAGTGTCAAACAGCACAGAGGTTTTGTTCAATCTTCCACCTCCCTTTTTCAACATCACCCAATTGAAAGCTAACTTTGCCTCAAAGGGCTTGAATGCAAAGGACCTTGTTGTTCTCTCAGGTATATATGATCAATTAACAAGTTTCAAAATTAATTAAATATTGAAGTCAAAATGCACTTCACACCCTACAAATTTTCCATTTTCGCATTTTTCCTCTAAAAATTAAAAAAAAATGGATAACCCCAATTCAAATATTATTTTTGTTCTACTTTGCCATAATTAAAAGCCATTTTTTGTTGGACATTGTGCAACAAATATAATATTTTATAGGGGCAACGTGCAGAAAAAAATGTTTTTAAGGGACATGGTACAACAAAAGTAACATTTAAAAGGGCAACATACAACAAAAACATTCAATTCCAGTGAATAATCCTTCGAAATTTTGCTATCGGGCAATGTGTAACAAGAATAACATTTTGAAAGGGAACATTCCCATTTCCAAATTTTTATGGGGTAAAGTGCGAAAACTAGAAATTTATAGGGGGTGACGTGCAATTTGCCTAATTTTACAAAAACCCTAATTAATTAATTAATTAATTTCCAGGAGGCCACACCATAGGAACATCACACTGTTCGAGCTTCACTAACCGGCTATACAACTTCACGGGAAGAGGAGATAGCGACCCGTCGTTGGACTCGAACTACGTCGCTCGTCTTAAAACCAGATGCAGCGCAACGGATACCACAACACTCGTCGAGATGGACCCCGGGAGTTTTAAGACATTCGACACGGATTATTACAGCCTTGTCGCTAAAAGAAGAGGTCTTTTCACTTCGGACGCAGCTCTTCTTACCGATTCCGAGACTAGGGCTTACGTCACCAGCCATGCTACTCCTCGGGGTTCGAAGACTTTCTTCAAGGATTTCGCTAAGTCAATGGTGAAAATGGGTAAGATTGGTGTTCTGACCGGGAGCAGGGGTGAAATTAGGAAAACATGTGGTTTCGTTAATTAATTAATTAATTAATTTTTGGTACGTCAGACAAGTGATTTTCGTTTTCCTATTCTTTAATTGTTGATCATCAGTTTGTTGTTGCTCTTTGGTTTCTTTGTATGGGTTCAGATAATAAAAGATGAAAATATATATGGAGCTGTTGAAATTTCTCAATCTGGCTGGATCGTGTATGCCTAACCAACTTATTTTATCGATTGTCAACAACATAATACAGTAGAACCTCGATAAATTAATAAAATCGATCAAATAATAGTTTCTCTCGGTCCTGACTCGATGAAAACGTGTTAAATTATTAACTCAATAATTTCATAATTCTCTAAATTAATAAAATTTCTGCAGTCCCAACTATATTAATTTATAAAGGTTTAATTGTATGACCAACATTTTTCTTTTAATGTTGTGCCAACCGCAAGCATGGTCGTCAACAATATAATACGGCAATTTGTAGTGGCCAGCGGTGAAAATTTGTCTATTTTGGTTAAATTAGAGTTTCATGTATAAATTGAGTGTGTTTAATTAAAGGGATTATTACAAAGGGCTAAATACACTTTGCACCCTTAAACTATAGGGGTGGTAATACTTACCCCTTAAAGTTATAAATGTAACACTTACCCCCCTCAGTAATGAATTTAATAATAAACTTTGACTTTGAATGATGTGGCATTTTTTCTTCCTAAATTGTCCTTCTAGCTATTATATTGATGCATATATAATAAAATATTTTCAATATTATATCAAAAACTAAAATTTATAAAATATAATAATTATTAAAAAATATTTTGATTTATGTTTAACTCCACATTTTAATTACTATAGACCCTAATATAAATAAAAATCTCAATATTTTAAAAAATATATAAAATACGTTAAACATTCGCAAGAAAAAAGTATTCAAGACTTAAATGGCCAATTTTTTTATAATAATTATTGATTTGAAAATTTATTTAAGTTACTTAAATATAAATTTTAATAAAATAATATTTAAATATTTAGACGTTTAAATTATAATTTCTTATTAACTTTTGAATACATTTTGTGATTCTCAAAGTAAAAAGTGAGATGATTATATTAGAGTCATATACACATTAAAATAACTATATAAACTATAAAATTATAATTAAAATTCGAATAATCGTTAACTTTTTATTAGCTACAAATGAACACAAGGTAAAACAAAAATAAACTAAAATTCAATTTTTTTCATTCATAAATTTACAATATTGAAATAATAAAATTAAGTTTTGGCAAAGTTGTCGAATTTTTTATTATTACATATTCATTATTTATTTAAAGGCTAGAAGGACAATTTGGGAAGAGAAAATGCCACATCATTCAAAGTCAAAGTTATACCTTTAAATTCATTAATGAGGGGGGTAAGTGTTACATTTGTAACTTTAAGGGGGTAAGTGTTACCACCCTTATAGTTTAAGGGTGCAAACTGTATTTAGCCCTATTACAAATAAGTTCATTAATGAGTTCTTTATTATCCATTCAAAAAACTCATTTACCAATAAGTCCACACATGGTCCAGATTTCTGTAAAAAGGCTAAAATAGTCTCTCATTAATATGCTCTAATTTCATCCTTAATTTAATTTAACTTCAATTTGACCCCAAATTTCACAAATTATTCCATTTTGACCCAAAACTTTTTTTTTTCAAAAAAAAAAAAAAAATTCCCGCCGGATTCCGGTGTTGACCTGACTTTTCAAACTTCTTTTTTTCTTCCCGATTTTTTCGCCGGTTTCCGGCGTTGACTTTTCGATTTTTTTTCTGTAACATTGTTTTTTCGTTTAAACAGCAATATTGTTGTGATTGACATTAATATTAACTATATTATTGTTAAATACAATAAAATTAACTAAACTACAGTTTAACACAGTAATATTGCTATATTAATCTCTAGCACAATAATATTAACACAACAAAACTCATTATTATTGTGTAATAGAGTAATATTACTATGTTGACCGTTCAACAAATGTAAACATAATAAAAAGCCAAAATAATTAATATTACTGTGAGTGACAGTAATATTACTATAACAACAGCAATATTACCGTCAACCACAGTAATATTACAATAATAGACAGTAATATTATTACGTTACTCCGTGAATAACTCAAACAAACAAAAAAATCCAAACAAAATAATAATATTGATGTGGTTGACGGCAATATTACTATAACAACAGTAATATTAACGTAAACCACAGTAATATTATTGTGTTTACAGTAGTATTACAATAATGGACAGTAATATTATTAGTTACTCCGTGAATAACTCAAACAAAACAAAAAACCCGAAAAAATAATAATATTGATGTTGTTGACAGTAATATTATTGTGTTTACAGTTATTTTACTGTCAACGACAGTAATATATAATTACGTTGACTTGTCAACAAATCAAACAAAATAAAAAAAATAACAAAAATAAAAAATAATAATATTACATTAATTTACTGTCAACGGCAGCACATTTACATAAATGTATTGTCAACGGCAGTACAATTACGTTAATTAACTGTCATTACAGTATAATTACATTAATTTACTATCAGTGACAGCACAATTACGGTCAACGTTTAGCAGCGGGAAAAAAAAAAAAAAAAAACTCCAAAAAACAATAAAATAAATCAACACCGAAGACCACCGGAAACCGGCGAAAAAATCCGGAAGAAGAAAAAAAAGTCAACGCCGGAAACCGGCGGAAAAATCCGAAGAAAAAAAAAATCGAAAAGTCAATGCCGGAATCCGGCGGCAAAATTTTTTTTTTTTTGAAAAAAAAAAATCAAAATTGAAATTTTGTGGACAAAATTGAAATTTTGTGGACAAAATTGATTAAATTGGGGTTACAATTAAGAATTGAGTATAAAAGGTTGGGGGTAATATTGACATCTACATGAATGTTTCATTTATTTATAATAAATATTAAAGGGATGGGCTTATTGGTAAAAGAGATATAGCCCTTAAACCTATAATAATAAAGATGCTTGGTTGGGGGCTTATGCACAAAAACCCCAACATAATAAGTTCCATAAATTTATCATTAAAACCAAGTTTGATAAGAACTTCACGACAAAAACTCAATTATATTCTAAGGATAATTAGCAAGAACCCCCACATCTAGGAAAATGAGTTAAGAAAACACATCCTCCCAAAAATAATTAGAGAAAACCCACTTAGCTAATATTTCACCCATGTGATATTTCCATAATTCCAAAATTACCCTGAATTGTCTATTATACTCTTTCAAAACCCTAATCTTATTTCTATTTTTTTCGTCCGCCGTTTTCACGCTCCAATGTTTCTCTTCTTCTTTGTTTTTTTTTTCTCTGTTTTCTTCGTGACTTCTCCGCCACGGTCGCCGCCGCCGCCGGGAGATAGAGAAAGAAAGAAGATGAAGCACCCATCAAACATTATAAATGATTTTGATAGCAATTCTGAATTCGAATGCCAGGAATGCTACATCGGAGGCGAATAGAGATAAGATTGTCGATTTGTCGCCGGAATCTGATTTTGATGGGTGGTGGTTCTGCTTTGGTTGGTGGTGCGAGTTGTAATTTTATTTATTTATTTGTAATAAAAAAACCGTCATAATGTCAAAGTAAGGTGGTGATGGTGTGTTGTGGCGGCGGTGTGGTGACGATAGGGAGACAGATTTATGATTTTTTGGTGGATCGGGCGGAGGACAGCGCCGGTAGAGAATTTCGCGCATGCTGAAACCTTAATCGACTATGTACATGTACATAGTCGATTAAGCTAATCGACTATGCTCTGGCAGCCGATTAAGGTTGATCGACTCCTATTTTTTTAAGTTTTTTGAACTTTTTGTATTATTGATTCCATTTGTATAAATCATTTATAATATTTGTATATTTTTTTGTTTTTGTAATATATAGTTGATTTTGTATTTTTTTTCGCAATTGTGATTTGTTATTTTTAGTAGCCGATTTTTAATCAACTATGCTTCACATCATAGTCGGTTAATATACCTGATATAGAAAAAAAATAAAAACACAAAAAAATTAAAAAAATAAATAATTTCCTTAATCGACTATGAAACATAGTCGATTAAGGCTAATCGACTATGCTTCCTAGTTGATTAAGGAAACTGATACAGAAAAGACGGGAAAAAAACGGAAAAAAAAAAATCGCCGAGCGCGTGACGACCTAGTAATGACGTGGCGGGCGGGGGCAAAGCTGGAAAACATAATGACTGAAAATGGGTGTGGGCTTCTTTCAAATGGACTAAAATATTTTGGACCTCCCTCAATTAAAAAAAAATAGTGATGGGGTTTTCTCAAAGAGCCCATTTATTCTATCATATGCCTCCTTACTAATATCAAATTTGAGAGCCATAACACCACCCTTGCCTTTTCTCATTGTTTTAATATGATTGATTCACTTCAAAGTCCACTAAAACATTGTTTGTAATAAGAGATATTTAACCATGGGGTTATTTGAGATAGCCCTCTCACCAGCCTACATAATATGGGATAAGCCGAAACATTTTTAATTTTTTGAGTAAAATCCATTAATTCTAAGTTTCATTTGACATAAACCCAAATAAATAATTAGTTTATACCATTTTCACATTTTCAAACCCTTATTAGGGTTTGGTTTATCTTATTTTATTTTGATTATATATATATATATATATATATATATATATATATATATATATATATATATATATATACATTAGTTTATTTTTTTAATTTTTTTTTCAGTGGTGGCCTCGGTAGTCGGAGCCCCGATTAACTTACTAAACATTAGTTAACTTCAATTAGTTGACATTCATTTTTTTTTCTTTTATCTTTTTTTTTTCGGCGGAAGGTAGTCGAAACTCTGGTTAGCTGCTCATTCAGCATTAGTTAACTTCATTTAGTTGACATTCATTTTTTTTCTTTTATCTTTTTTTTTTTTAATTTTTTTTTCCGGCGGCGGGTCGTCGGAACTTTGGTTATCTGACACAGAATTAGTTAACTTCAATTGGTTGACATTCAATTTTTTTTAT